TCACGAATCGGTTCAACTTTTTTCTTTTTACAACAACAACATCGGAATGCATCGCAACAACCTTTTGTATCAGCAACAGGAACTAATCGAGAATGATCTTGTGGTACATCAACAAAGGACATCCAGAGAAAAGAGGTATGGTAAAGGGTGACGCACAATTACTGAGAGAAATGAAACATGCTTGTTTGAAACATTTTCCTCAGTAATTGTGTGTCACCCTTTAAAACAACCAAAAGTGGACATATCTGGACAGATACAAAAAGAAAATCGAAAAAAGCGGCTCCCAAATGACTTCGAGAACAGTTCCAAGGGAGACAGATTATCATCACTGCAGAAATAAGAAGCACCGAGGTTTACAAAATCGACGAATGATACTACTTATATTAAGCTGAATTCAAGAGAACTTGATGAATGCGACAGCTCATGTTCTTCTGTACGGTTTTACGTACTGCTTTAGGATACTTTTTAACTTTTGTTCATTGTTCTTGTTTATTATTCAGTCGTATGAACACATTTAGACTTAGACGAAGCTTACGACTTCTGTTTATCTACCGATCTCAAACTACGTTATTCAAAAGGTACACCATAAATACTATGTGGATATAGGACTAATACGGTCTGTGGTGGTTAAAGTCCTGCTCAAAGAAACTCATACATTACAAGTATCATGCGCTTACCAGCCTTAACGCAATAAGACGTATTCATAATTAAACAAATATGTGTGGTTCATTCGACATCACCAAGACCATCCAGAAACAAAGACGCCGTTTTTATGGGAACTTGCTGTAGAACCTAGTTTTTTGGATTGAAGCTAAATTTGGGTAGGTGTGTATCAGTATCAGTGTACTCTTTAAAAAAGGATACAGACAAAATCCATCCATTTCGTCATGCTGAATTTTTCTTTTCGCTGTACCAACTATATCGTCGAAACATATGATCGACTGCTTCTTTAATGAAATAAAAGGATTTGTTTCTTTGCTTAGTTTTCTTCTGCTGAATATAAGAGCAAAGTCAAATTCTGTTCTTTCATAATATGCAGATAGTGACATCGTCAAAGGCTGATTACAACTCGTAATTTCCTCTATGCATTACCTGATATCGAGTCAGTTTATTCTCGCTTCCTTTTTCCATAACCAATAACCATTTTCAAATTCATGAATTCTTTTTGTTCACCTCTCACGTGCATTCTAACCGCAGCCGTTTGAAATTTAGTTTGTTTCAGTTGTTTTTAGATCTAATCATCAGTGGCGAAAAACACAGATGTTTTTTAAGTTTAACTGTAATCGTGAGTGAGAATTTTTATTTTTCACGTTCATTTATATGTTTTAGATAAAGATGAATTTTTTCACACCTGTGATTAATTTTATATCTCATTTGGGACAAGGACAGCATGAAACTGGAACAAATGAATTCTAACCATGTATTCGAATGGCCATCGACATTCATTAATGATCAAGCAGCAATTAAATATTCTAAGCGGAGGGGATCGTACTTGTCCTTCTTTTCCAGTTCGTTTGAGCGATTTCCCTCTCTCAGTTTTTTGTGAAAAATATGCTGGTAATTGGTAAGTTGTCAGAAATCTTAAAGACGAAGTTGCCTGGTAGTTTCAGGGACAGCATTTACTGACCCTGACCTTCACAGTCGTTAAATTAGAAACCTAGGTTGTAGGGTGTGTCATTGTACGGCAACTTGTTTGGCGCCCCCGCTCTGCAAAAGTACTCAAAAAAGTTTTTATAGTCTCTCAGTATTTTTAAGTGAGTTTTTTTCTGTCATTTTTGTTGAATAGAACCTTTGAGAGCTCGGCATGAGATCCAAGGACTGAACCCATAAAAGATTCTGTCTATACTCTTTTTTTTAGGGAGTACTTACCGAAATACTGACACCAACAATATGGATACTGACCGTGTTGCTAAGGCACGAAATCATGGCCAAACACATAGGTCATTTTATTTGAACATCCTTTATGCATACCCGTTTGTGCTTTAACATGTTTTTTTATATCCGAAGTATACTTGATACTGAGTATATCTTCAACAGGAATAATGATGACTTCTTCATCAGCCGACATATTTTCTTCTTTTGATGTGCTAACAGGACCCAAT